TCCTGCTGATTTCAAGAAATCATATATGAATATAAGTACATATGTCGATTGGGAATTAGATCACACAGCATAAAACGTTTCGAACTTTAAGTTATGTACCTGACTATACTGATCCGACATTGAAAATTGGCTTGGATTTGATGGCTGAAATGCTTCTTGACTTGAAACAACTTCTTTATCCTTTCCTGTTAAACAATGTGTCATGTTAGTGAGCTTTAATTCAGCGTACATCCAAAACAATAGAAGAATATAACCTAACTAACACTTTGTTTATTTTTCAATCTTACTTTTTGATCGGTTATTCTTCTCCCAAAAGCCTTTTAATCTAGCATTGGAAACGCCTTTTGACCGCATCTTCGTTGGGTCTTTCAAATTGTGTGGTTTATTCGGTGTCTTTTTCTTCTTTGACATTGGCATTTCCTGAGGATTTTTCCCATTCAATATGGCTTCAGATTCGAGTGTTAGTTTCCTTAATGTTTCCAGCACGTTGTTTTCAGCAAGTTCATCACCTTGAGTTAATATGCTGATCCGGTATGCAAATTTATGAACGTGCGTTCGATATATGAGACCACTCAAACAAGTTGTTGTAGTTTGAGAATCTTTCAAATGTTTATAACCATAGTTGTTATATATATCCCTCTTTGCATGAACCAACCACCGCAGTAAAATATATTTATCAGGGATCTTTGTTATATTCTCATGGTTAAGCACTCTTAGAGTGTGAGCACATAATATCCCCATCATTTCAAATTTTTTACAACTGCATGTAATCTCAGAATTACCTTTATCGACCTTAACAATCCACGGTCTGACTGTGTGCTCATTATCTAAGTTTCTAATATAAAATTCTAAATTTGAAGTGGCTGAGCACTCCACAGCAAGACCACACATACCATGTAACAACTCTGCTTCAAACATTGAATATAGCTTCCTCGTATAAACTAAAGCTCCTTGCCTCAACACAGGACTACTTTTTACAGCGAGGACAGTTGCAGACTGTTCAGATTTAAAATCTTCATCTCTCTCATTCTTTCTCCAAGCTTTCATGACATTTTCAAGACCCAAGAAACTCTCAGTGAGGGTGCTTGTTGGCTTAGAGGCATTATGACAAATGTTATTCGTCGACTCACTCCTTTGTGTTGAAAGGATCCCCATCCCAAATATCTCCTTGTTGAAAGCTGTTGACCACTTATGCCTGATATTGTACAAGCTAATAAACCAAACATTCTCATATAGATTTCCTAACACATTCATTGTATGCCAAGTTTCTTCAAACTCCTCCTCAGAATAACACCTAGCTATGCATTTATAAAAAAGCTTGTTGACTTTCTTGGTGCTTACACCACAATATAATTTTGAAGATAATTTCTTGTAAATATGTCATTGACATAATCTATGTCTTGTGTGCGGAAGGCACTCTTCAATGACTCTGACCATTGCTTGATCCTGATCAGTGAATATTGTCATCGGGTGCTTGTTGTTCATAATCCGAATAAATGACTTAAATAGCCACTTGAATGATTCAACTGTTTCATCTGACAATAAGCCAACTCCAAATAGAACGTTATGCCAGTGGTGGTTCACACCAACAATAGGAGCACAACATAAATTGTATTTATTTAATCTATAACTTGTGTCAAATATTATGACATCCCCAAAGCAATAGTAATCAAGTCTGGATATCCTATCACTCCAAAAGAAATTCAGGTCTCATCAATTTGGACGTCTGTCGACACTATTTTTAGTGTGGGGTTTGCCCGTAAGAAGCTGTCGGTCATCAGAATTGAAATCCCGTTGCCCGCTTCGGAAGGACATTTTAAAAATTTTAATTTTGAAAAAGATGGAGTCAAACTGACCCCATAATTTTCATAGTTTAGATGAAAAAGCATTTTACCTCAAATCCTGTATCTATCCCGAAGGATGAACACAAGAATTGAGGGTGAGGCTCGATCAAATAAACTAGAGAAAGTTATGACATCCGTTTGGTCTGCGAAACCAATATATTGGCCGAAAAATTCCCCCATTTAATATAAGGAATTAAATAGGGTTTATATTATGTTGGGTTCGGGAAAAGCTTCTTATAAGGGCAAGCCCCTATAGTTAATTACATCTTAGATAACTGAAGTTACCTAAGAATACTCAAAATAAGTTTTTATAAATGTTTGAGTTATATTTTGATTTTTAAAAATCATTTAAGTGCCAAAAATGATATTTATCTTTAAAAATCAACTTAAGTTACCAAATGAACTCAAAATATTTTGAAATTTTTATGGTGAGTTCTCTAGATGATAAGTAACAGTGGAGATCAAAAATCAAGTCATTTTGTTGTTTGTATTTTTCAAAATAATTATCTTAGTGATTTAGGGTTTGTAAGGATTAGGTCTATTTTGAATGACTTGGCTCATGAGAAATTTTTCCAAAGGCTTTCTGGTCAAAGTAAACCTTCCAAAATTTTCCTAGATTTTTTTAGGGAACATTCTAATTTCCATGATTATTTTAAGAAAATAATGCACATAAATTTGAAAAATATGATTCTCTGTCTAGGGACCTCCTCTGACTTTAGAAAAATCAGGGGATGTTCCTTAAGACAGAGGAAACAACATGCCAAAAATCAAAGCTATGATGAAATGCCTATATACATGGAGAATCAAAAGATTCCTAACCCTAATGGATTTTTAAAAAATCAAACATGCATCAAATGGACATAAAATTTATTCCACATTATTCTGCTCTGTTTACTGAACAAGAGCGTATTTTTATTTTATTTTTTTAATTTTTCTACAACAAGATATGAATTTTTAAAGTTTGGGGTCATTTTTTGATTTTTTAAAATCCATATTTATCTATTTAAACGTGCGGCGCCACATCAACCTACGACGGCTCCGAAGCTCCACCCGGCACGCTCTCATTTGACGTTGTCGTCCACCTCAAAGCTGACTCGACCCGCGGTTTATGTTCTGAAGCGCTGTCCAGCTCGATCTCCTCCATCCATTTGATACAGGCTTGATCAAATGACACCCCATCATCGTCCCCGATAGATTGATCCCATGACCGTCCACACTAAAACCTTAAGATCTCGGCCTAGACTCAACCAAATCACTTTGGGTTTGATCCTATGGACTCGTCTAAGTGAGATGAACACAACCATATAGTAATTATGCAATTAAATTAAGCCTAATCAAATGGAGAATCAAACTAGTCTTGGGAGGGAGAGAATTTTTATACCTTTGCTTTGAGAAGTGAAACTTAGATCAGAGAGTCTCGGCATGTTCGTTGTGATCCAAAGAGGCTAGGGATTGAGTCTCTAGTCTTGGTGTAAGGCCTAGATATGATTTCAATCATGGCCGGATTTGGGTATTGGTCTAGAGCTATGGTAGAGTGTAAAGCGTGCAATACATGAATGAACAGTAGCATGCAAGTGGGCTCCTTTCAGTGTTGTGAAGGTTTGGGTGAGGTTAATTTGAGTTTGATGGACTATGGAGGTGTATTGGGCTTTGTCCTGGTTTCCAGCAAGATTTTGAGCTCAAAATTGAACTTTGACAGTGGAATGGTCCACATGATCAAGGGATATGTTGCGAAGATCTTTCATGAAGGGATGGAGTGGAAATTTTGGGGTTAAGGCCCTCAATTTGGTGAGATTTTGAGACATGGCCAATTTGGGGCAAATTTGGGGCTTTTGGACTTAGGTTGAAATCAAATAAAATTGAGGCCTCACCAAGGCCAATTGAAAGTCAATTTTGATGTATGGGGATGTTATGAAGGTTTTTAAACACAAATTATAGCCAATTAAGTGGGCTATGGGTTCAATTTGGTGGAACCACTCATAGGGCCAAAATCAACTCATAGGGCCAAAATGGGGTTTTCAATTTAGCTCAAAATTGTGTTCAAATCATGGGCTAATTGAGCTTGGATTTAGTCTAAATTAGTCACATCAAGGGTGAATTTGAGTTAGAATTGAAATTGGGGTGAATTGAGACCAATTGGATAGATATTTGGGGTAATTTGGGGAAAATATGGGCCTTTAAAGGGCAATTTGGGGGTTCTGGTCAAAGATGGTCAATTTGGCCAAATTAGGTCATGTAATAGTTGAGAAAAATGAAATTTGGAATATTTGGGAGGTTTTAGAAATTTTTGGGATTTTTTGGAACTTTTGGAATTTTTGGGTAAGGAGGGGTATTTTGGTAATTTGGCCAATTTTGGTGATTTTGGGTAGTTTGGGTGTTTTCAAGTGTTTGAAATAATTTTTGAATCAAGTTGGGTATTTTGGGTAGATTTGGAAATTTTGGCCAAATTTGGGGTCCCAAGGGTATCTTGGTAATTTGGGGGAATTTAGGGGCAAAAGGCTAGGTTGGGTATCTTGGTAGAGTTGGAGTGCCAACCACTATCAATAAGCCATGGACGAATGGAAACCCTCATTTTGGATCCTATATGTAGTGGTCTTAGCTAAACCCTAGCCCAGGGCTAATGGGCTTAGGGGACCACCTACAGGAGTCTCCCAAAAGTATCAAGGGACCAGAGCCTGAGAAATTATGGGTTTAGGGTAGTGAGTGATTGTGAGTGTACGTGATTGTAATTGAGTGCCTTAGCCCTAGACCAACACCCAGGGTCAACCCTAAGGTCTAAGGTCCAGGAGTCCTATGGGTGACTCATCTTGAGCTCCCCCATAGTGACCCCACCTACTAAGTGCTAGAGGTTAGGACCAATATGTGGAACTTCAAGTTGAGTAGAGAAGATTTTGGAATTTCTAATGGTGAAGGTTTCTTGTCTAGTTTTCTAAGAATAGTTAGTAGTAAAGTCCTATGGCTAGACTTTAGGCTACTAAAGAGGAAAAACTAAAACTCAACCAAAAATGAGGTCGATAATCTTAGCACTTTCATAAGATTCGTTTCTTATCTCTTCATGCTCATTCAATTGCAATAATCTTTTCTCACCAGTATCCTTCAAATTTTAATTGAATTCTTATATAGCCCAATATGCTTTATGCTGAAGATTCAACTGGTAAATGACACGCTTTCCCAAATATTAGCCTGTATGGGGACATTCCTATAGAAGTTTTGTATGTAGTACTATAAGCCCACAAAGCATAGTCAATCTTAACTGACCAATCAATTTTGGTTGAATTCACAGATTTTTTCAATATTCTTTTAATTTCATGAATGAATAATTTAGCAAAACCACTTGTCCGAAGATGATAAGTAATAGCAATTCTATGGTTAATATAATATTTTTTTAATAACTTCTCCATTATTACATTTCTAACGTGACTTCCCTCGTTATTTATGATTACTCTTGGCATCCCAAATCTACAAAATATGTTTATTCTTAAAAATTTTGCAGCACTTTGAGCTTTTGCAGCACTTTGAGCATCTTTGCAACACTTTGAGCATCACATCAAGATAAAGCAACAACTCCTATCAATTTGGATACATAGTATACTGCTAACAATATATATAAATTTTTGAAAGATGGTATAAATGGTCTCATGAAATCTAATCCCTAAACATCAAATATCTCAACTTCTAACACATAATTGAGGGGCATCTAATTCCTCCTAAAATTATTGCCTACTCGTTGACATCTATCACATGTTTTGATATAAGCATTAAATATAAGCATTTTTGATATAAGCATTAACATCTCTAAAGATTGTAGGCCAATAAAATCCAGATTGTAAAATTTTGTATATTATTTTATCAACACCACAATGTCCCCTAAAATTAGAATTATGAAATTTTTTGATAATTTCATAAGTTTCTTCTTAAGTTACACATCTTCAAATAATTAGATCATTTCCTTGTTCATCCCAAAAATAAGTCTTAGCTTTAGATAAAAATTTTCTCTTCTGTTGGTATGTCATTCCATAGGGTATAATATCACTAACAATGAAGTTCACAATGTCTGCATACCATGAAACATGCACTCATTAACATTGAACAATTCTTCATCTAAAAAAATGTTCATTAATCTCTTTTTCAAAATAGAGTGGTTTCTCTAATTCAAGCCTGGAGAGATGATCAACAATTTAATTCTCAGCTTCATTTGTATCTACTATTTCAAAGTCAAATTCTTGCAAAAGAAGAATCTATCTTATCAATCTTGGTTTTGCATCACTCTTTCTCATTAAATACTTAATAGCAGAATGATTTGTATGCACAATACATTTAGTTCCAATTAAGTATAATCTAAATTTAATCTAAATTTATACTACAGCTAATAACTCTTTTTCGGTTGTTGTATAATTAGTTTGAGCTTGT